TAAATGACAAAAAATTAGGTGTCTATTTACTTGTGACCACTCAGTGTATATAAAATTTCACAAATCACTCAAGTTATGATCAGAGTGTGAAGAAAAACGCTGTACACATTCCAAACTTAACACGAAGAAGGAGACAAAAAGTTGTACAGTTCTGTATACACAGATTACAAGGTAAAATACTATTCACGTCTCTACCCTTATCACAAAATAAAGGACGTCGTACAAATTTTCAACTTATCACAAAATACGAAGAAAAAATTTCAGTTTAACTTAAGACAAAAAAAATCATATCTGTCTCTCAAGTTAGCTCGAAGGGCATCTTTCACGTGAAACTTAAGCTCAAATAACATCTAGATCTAAGGTGTAAAGTGAAGAAATAACTATACACCCACCTATCAGATTCATTAAACAGCGAAATCATTGTAGGATATATATGTGTGTTAAAATCTGTAAAAAAAATTAGATAAGTTACGTTAAATTAGAACCCTAGCTCTTTAGGTACAAAGAAAAAATAGTGTTTTTTTTCTGATTTAGGGCGCGTAATTGGAGAAAAGGCTTGGGTGTTGCGCTGTAACTTTGTACATGAGTGGTCTACCTTGTCTAGGAAACAAAAAAAAGGGTTCCGAAAACTTTACCACCAAGGATGTCAGTGCAAGGTATGATAAGCTCTCAACTACTTGAAGGACATTTTTTAATTATGAATGCCTCTCGTGTTATCGTGGGGATAGCACAGATAACCCAATGTGTAGCTTTGTGCTTAAAAACAAACTTGAAGATAAGAATCGGATATATATATATTGTATCTTTACAAGATACAGAGAGAGAGAAAGAAACCATTTAAGAATAGCCATTTCTTCTTTACGTTTAAACAATATTAAGTCAGAAACAAGTTGACAAAGTACCAGGTAACTAATCAAGTCGCATAGTTTGTGAAAATATTTCAAGCTGTAAATTAAATTAAGTTTTGTAGAAACATCCAAAGTTTACAATCCTTCATTTAAAGATATATTTTTCCTTTTTTCTATCAATCCCAGGTTCGAATGCCCAGGCCGTCTCGATCCAGAAGAGAGCGCTACTGTCAATGGGACACAGCTGATGAGGGTAAAGATGATTGCCAGAGTCTACACACTATGTGTGTGCCAAACCATCGCGAAAACAAAGGATGCATTTGGAGCCGAAACAGGCGCTACAGAAAATGCATGAAGGACAGGCAAAAGAAAAAAGAAAAGGAAAGAGAGCAAGAACCGTAATCGTTCTGTCAGTTGTAGGCCTAAGGTATTGGTCAGTAAGAAACCGGGGTTTGTGAAACAATGTACAACGGTCAGTGAGAAATTCTGCGGACACAAAGATACTATAGATTAGTTGAGATCTCGTATATGTGCTTATTTGTGTGTATTTTTAAGTGGTTGGTGCTGTAAAGTATATCTGTTTTTCCAGCACTAAATAGAGTAGAAATACCTAGAACAGTAGAAGCTCTTTCTGTCAATTCGCTACGTATTTTACGCCGTATCGCATACCTTAATTAACATTATTTGTAAAATTATATTTTACTCTGTTCTTCATGTCGTTTCCATGGCAAAATGATTCATTCCTTTTTATATTGGTTATTTAACAGTAATATCTCAGCAGGTGATGTTCTGTAACTACTTTGACCTTTTTAGTGGAGATTTTAAGTAACTTTGATGTTTTAAAATTTATAACTTAACGTCTAAACCATTTTATCACTACTCCATGTCTGCGAATCTTAATTAAAAAACAGATCAAACTTTTTTTTATAATTTCGACACTTAAAAGTTCAATAGTAAAGATTTTTGCCGTGAAAATCAATAAATCGCAAAGCACTCTGAGCATCACGATATTTTTTTTTCATAGCTTCTAGCTCCATCTGTTCACTTATAATGATACGAAACTGTATATCAAAGCTTGTGAACGACAAGTAATTATGACTTGATTATTAAAATTCGTTCAATAATGTGTAAGTTAACGTGTTTTATTATATTTATTTGAAAATAGTTTTCACGAATCGTGAATAGATGGCAGCACGTATGATATTTAACTATTTTAAGAGTAACCTTCGAGGCCTATTTTCGTACGAAGTTCTTTAGAGGATTACCTGAGGCGTTATCATGGTTACTTGTAAGTGATGCTTGGTGCTGCACGAGTAGCACGGAGCAGTAACCATATCAAAATGTGTATCATTATTATGTACAGAATGTATGTATGTTTTTGTATAATATTTATGTGTTATATAGTTACCTCATGAGTTACAACTTATCCTCTTTGTACGTGTTAAATTTCGTATGTAATGTTAGGTTCAAGTCTAAAGATCAACAGTTCCAAAATAAGTGATTTCTATCTAATTTTCACGTACGTATACGCAGATACACATAATAGCCTAGGGAGTATATGTATATATATATATACACACACACACATAGCTATTTATGGAAAATATAACCAACTAAAACAATGTAGTTCGTTATCCTATAAGTCCATAATTTAAAATGTTTTATTTTTGTCTTTCTGGTGGCAAACGCTTTTCCAAGAGAAATATAAAAATACAGCAAAATTTCACCAACAAACTTAAGATAACCTTTTCTTTTTCTTTACGATTTACCAATAGTTGACAACATGAGAGTTATAATATTATTAACTTAAAAAAATATATCGTGTTCTTTTTTTTTTAAAGAAAGACAAAATAATTAAAATTATTGTTGTCAGATGAAAAAAGTTTTATTTTCAAAGTTATTATTATTGTTTTTATTTGTGTTTGTAATTAGAAGGTCTTATTTCAGTTTTATAACTTTTTACTACAGTGTTTTTGTTTTAGTGTACGCGGATTTAAAAAAAAAGAAGCAAAGTTTTGTAAATTATCCAGATAGAAAAGTAGATGGCGACTGTTGCTGCACAAAAGACTTAGATGTAGTAGTTCATATTGATATTTAACGTTCAACCATTGTTTCGAAACCATATGTTAAAATTAGTACATTGTAGTTCTGTATTACAGATTATATTCAATAAAGTTGGTAATCGGGTTACTTTTGGGTTTGTTCAGTGATATAACGCAAAAACCTGGTGTTATTACATTTGTATTAATTGTGGTGGTATCAACGTTTTGCACGCAGGCCCGGTGCCATGTTTTCTGTAGCCATCTTGGAGAGACTTATCTATAATGGGGTCATTTAAGTATCACTTTAAATTTATAGGAAATATAAAAACGAGAAAATAATAACTACCGAAATGATCAAAAACAACAATAATACAGTACGTTAAAAATAGGATTTAAACTTTTTGGGGAACCTCCCTAGGGCCGGCACTGTTTGCTCGGTTACTATAGATACAGAACTAAAAGTAACATGAACTTGAAATATTCAAACATTTGATGTGTAGAACAGTGTAATTCACAAAATTGTCATCGCTCTTTACATTGTGCGAAGTAAAGTAATTTATACAGTGTTAAAATTAACATCACATAACGTGTAATATGGTGTTACAAATAAAAGTAAAATAACACAACATACCGTGTAATATAGTGTTATACGTGAAGTTGAAAATAACATCACATACGTGTTTATCAAGTGTTACAAGTAAAGGATAAAATATCATCACATACCGTGTTATATATTATTACAAATAAAGTTTAAATTAACGTCACATACCGTGTTATATTTTATTACAAATAAAGTTTAAATTAATGTCACATACCGTGTTATGTATTATTACTAATAAGTTTTATAATATCATCACATACCGTGTTATATAGTATTACAAATAAAGTTTAAGATATCATCACATACCATGTTATATATTATTACTAATAAATTTCATAATATCATCACATACCGTGTTATATATTATTACAAATAAAGTTTAAGATATCATCACATACCGTGTTATATGTTATTACAAATAAAGTTTAAATTAACGTCACGCAGTGTGTTATGTATTAAGAAAATATAGTATGAAATTAAAATATAATCTTTATAACTTATTCTTAACTGACCTACTTATTACGTGTTACATCATTACAAAAGTTTATTTACTTTTTAGTAAACAGTTTTACCTGGTACTATGAGAATGCCCTTTAGAAAAAGTTTGATAAAAACTTATAACATGAGCAATAGTTTGCAAATTCAAAGCAACGTTTCTTATTTGTGTACTTGAAGAAACATTTGCATAAAAATTTACAGGGCATCCATTCTTAGATTGTACACCATGATCAAGAAAGAATAAAACTAGTGTTAAAATCATGTCATATAGATCTCATCACTGTGTCTGCTCACGAATAGTTTACAATTTTACACTTAAACTCAAGTAAATCTCCCTTGCTCTATTTCACTATCGTCTGAAAGTTTAAAGCGATCGAAAGTAATTTAAAAATCACCCAAGAACTTTTAGGAGTAGAAGAGTTGTTTGGTAATACGAGTTAATTATTCTTCCTTCTTTCGACAAATCTACAAACTTGTGACTCTAAAATAGACTGTAAGTGTGAACGATGGGATTTATCGACATTACAATTGGATGTTTCTAAAATTTCTGAAACATGCAAAAGGAACAATTACTGTACGAAATAGTAGGATTAAAATAAGGTAGTAAATGCTTCCAGAGAAAAGAAATATTTAAATGGAAAAGTTAGATATCAGAGTGAAAATATTTTGGTCGCATCAGCTAAAACATGATTTAATACTTTTGCAAGGAACCCTCAGTTTTTTCTACCTGCTAAGCCTTAAGATGAGAAATTTCAAAAGTTTATTTATTACTGTAGCAACTCTCTGGATTTTTTAACCCTGATGAACATCTTACTGTTTTTCGACATTTTTGCAGCCTCGGTGAGCAACCTTCAGTTGCTATTGTTGTTTTGAATTAACGTACTGGAGACAGACAACACTTGGATCTGCTTCCCCATGTCCTTTATTAGGTGCTTCATGAGAGATTAACATTTCTCAACTTACATTTTTAAACCTCTAATCTGTGAGGGATTTGTCACCATTTAGAATGCTCTTCTAAGTGGGTGTGTTCCAGAATTTCGCGCAAAGCTTCTAAAGGCCTATTTAAGCACAGCTGTATCCAAATTAGAACTGATAGTTTAGGGAGATGTCAACAGCACTCACTGCTAACTCTTGGGTTACTCAATAACTGATAGAATAATGATATTTCAGCCTCATCTTTATGGAGCACCAATGGCCTCAAAGTACGGAGCTTGTTTTTGCGGCAACCAGTCGCTAACCACGAATCTTCGGATTCCCAATCCGGACACGTGAACTACTTAGCCACGCCCGATTGAAGTAGGTATGTAATCAATATAAATTGCTAAGTAGTGAATAAAGCAATAAATGCTATTTTTCATAAAATGTGAAAATACCATGTATTACAAGTGTTAATGAAATGAAGCACTTAATAAAGGACATTGGGAAGCAGATCCAAATGTTGTCTGTCTCCAGTACGTTAATTAAAAACAACAACAGCAACTGAAGGTTGCTCACCGAGGCTTCAAAAATGTCGAAAACAAACATTATATTTTTACAAATCGAGGCCTGTTTTTCGCAACAGATTAGCAGAAAGATTGAGACCAAGAAAATATCAAAAACTACACCTGGTCAGGTATATATTGTTGCGTCATCGAGGTCACGTGACGCTAGTAACACGTCATATTCTCGAAGCAAACACTATAACGAACGAACGTTAACTTCAACAATACCCTGTGACTGCAGTTCAATTACTCACTATCTACTCACACTCATTACATTATTGCCGTCACGTCTTGACCGTCTTATATATAAAAGAATACCGAAGTCTAGTAACCTCACGAGGATTCACGAAGTTTTAGCGCGAATATTGAAATAAGTGTATCGTAAAGTTATATTCGGAAAGAATAAACCAGTTTTATTAAGTAGAGAACATGTGTCGCTAAAGTTTCGTCGGAACGAAGTTACGGAAAGTTAATTAACAAACGGAGACGTAACAATATATATAAACACTTGGATATTAATATTTTATCTGACATCTTTCAGAAATATCAAATTTTCAGTTTTACACTACTCATAGCACGAAGTATTTGCGTTGTAAAGTCTTAATGCATACAATACTCTTGTACTGTGTAAAGTAGAAAAGTATGCTTGGAAAGAAGGAACGACTTTACAAATATTTACTTGCATTCTGGGTGAAAGCTGGAAAAAAAAAAGAGCTCGCTTTCAACTACTTATTTCAGTCCTTCGAAAGTAATTATGACGTCACCAAGATTAACTCATATTCTACCAGATATAGCCGATGATATGACGTCACCAAGATTAACTCATATTCTACCAGATATAGCCGATGATATGACGTCACAAAGACTAACTCATATTCTACCAGATATAGCCGATGATATGACGTCACCAAGGTTAACTCATATTCTACCAGATATAGCCGATGATATGACGTCACAAAGACTAACTCATATTCTATAGGATATGATCAACGATGTACCTTTGCTAAGCAGCTTAGAATCCTCAATTCTCATTCAGAAAACGATACGTTTGACGGATCGGCTATAACGACATATACAAAAATTATGAGGGTATACGAGTGCATCTTGAAACCATATGCATATCGAAGGGTTGCTCTAAAATGTTTTTATTTCTATTATACACTAAATGTTCTAATAGACTTGTTATATTTACCCATCATATCTTCATGCATATCACACTTCAATGAACAAGGGCGTGGCTCATTGTTTAGGTACTCAGACTGTGAACCCGAGGATCCGTTGCAAAAATTTGTTCCGCACTTTGGGTGGGGGAGGAGGTGTGCTATAAGAGTGACAGTTAAATCCTATTATTCGATTAGGGTAGTCCAACAGTAGGCGGTGGGTGTTATTGACTAGTTGCCTTACTTTTAGTCTATCAGTTAGAAATTAGGGAGGCTATCTGCTGGTAGCCCTTTGTGTAGCTTTGCGTGAAAATTCTAACAACAACACTCTTCACTAGTCAAGACTGACATATACTGTAAATCAATAAGACATGATATTCCATTTGGATTATAACAGTCAGTTATTGGTATGAAAACTTTTTATTCGTTAGTAGTAAAGGTAGTCAAGCCAGTTTCAGTATTAAAGACAGTCATGTCAGTCTTAGCAGTAAAGACAGTCGTGTCAGCCTCAGTAAAAATAGTCATGTCAGTCTCAGTATTAAAGACAGTCTTAGTAGTAAAGACAGTCATGCCAGTCTTAGCAGTAAAGACAGTCGTGTCAGCCTCAGTAAGGATAGTCATGTCAGTCTCAGTATTAAAGACAGTCTTAGTAGTAAAGACAGTCATGTCAGTCTCACTATTAAAGACAGTCATGTCAGCGTCAGTAAAGACAGTCATGTCAGTCTTAGCCCTAAAGACAGTCGTGTCAGCGTCAGTAAAGACAGTCATGTCAGTCTTAGCTGTAAAGACAGTCTTAGTAGTAAAGACAGTCATATCATTATCAGTATTAAAGACAGTCACGTAATTCTCAGTAGTGAGGTTGTCATGCTATTTTCTATAGCAAAGACATTCATGACAGTCTCAGTAGTGAAGACAGTCATGTCAGTCTTTGAGCTAGGTAATTTAATCGATTAATCAATCACGAAAATAATCAACTAATCGAAGTTATGATTATATCGATTATCACGAAAGTAATCAAGTAATCGAAATTAGGATTTCCAGTTATACGGATTTTCCAAGTAATCGAAACATTGCCATTATGTTTGTTTAGTGTTAAGCAAAAAGCTATGTAATAGGCTGGATGGGTGGTTTCGTGATTTGAGGATCTTGGGTTTGATTCCAACTGCCAATAAACTTGTTCGTCCTGTGTTTGTTATAGCAGAGCTACTAAGGCTATCTGTCACTGTAACTAATTTTGGATTGCTGAATAGAAAGAAGGCAACTAATTAGTAGCACCCACTGCCGATTCTATGGCTACTTAAGTGTTAAATAAAGTGTAAATTTACTGTTGTTTTTTTAGATTGTGTTTTGTTTCTAAGTTAAATTGTGTTACTGTATTCTTTAATGTTGTACAAACAAGAGTGGACCTGGGAGAGGTGGAGTTTAGGAGGTCTGTATCTTTCTATTTTTTCAGGAATTAATAACTACATTATTTAATGTATAAATAGTCGTGGATCTAGAAAAGGGAGCCGAACCCCCATCCCTCCAACTATTATTTTCAGAAATTAATAATTGAATTACTTAATGTTGTATAAATAGGTGCAGATTGGGGGGGGGGGGGATCCTCTTCATTTTTCGGAAACAGATAAAAAACAAACGTCTTTATATTAACACATAAAATAAACAAAAAATAATGCTTGATTTTATTTGGTTGGTCTATTAATTAATGTTAAAGCCTTTTTCGGGTCAACACAGCTGAAGTCTACAGCAAAGCGGTTACGGCCTCAGTCAATAACTGATTCTTTCTAAGCGAATACAACAATAATAACGCCAGTTTAACACTGCCAAGGTAATTTTTTGCGTCTTGGCTTTTATCAGACATTCTAACAATTTATCTAAGCATTAAAACGTATTTTTTATTATTATCAAAGTTAGTACTATTTAGAAAATCTGCAGTTCTTATAACATACAGTAGAAAAGATCGCAAGACGTGGAAAATAATGAAAAAATGATAATTAAAAGACACATCTATAACAAAACCATTTTTATTATTACTTGTAGACTTGTTGCAGAGTCGATTTTTCATTGTGTTGCGTCATCGAGATCATGTGATTCTCACGCTCTCTACTTTCTAGAATTATCCTGTACTTTGGCGAATGTTCTAGTTCTTACTAGATATAGGGTAGGCGGGTATATATAAGAGGGGACAACGTGACGCGGGAATTTAATGTGTGCGTAGATAGTGAGTAACTGATCTGCAGTCAGAAGTATTATTGAGCACGTTCGTCGTTATAGCGTTTGTTTAGCGCGATTGTTGAAGTTGAGTGTATCGGTAAAGTTATATTCGGAAAGAATAAACCAGGTTTATTAAGAAAGGACTTGTGTCGCTAAAGTTTCGTCGGAACAAAGTTACGGAAAATCAATTAACAAACGGAGACGTAACAATTGTTTGGAAGTTACAATACTTGCGAGAAAGATGTTTTTCGTATTATGTGCAAAATAAGTGAAAATATATGTGCTATGACTGTATGAGTGACAACATTTAAAAAATAAAACAAACATCCTGTTCACCAACACTAAAATATGAATTTAGGTGTACACTTTATAATTATAGCTGTTTAATTTTATTTACAAAATTTGTAATGTTTATATTTACCTGTCTTTATTTTAATATCAATCACATTAATAGAAATATAGATATAAACCTTGAGATTGCTGAGCTTACTTATAATGACTTTTGTAGGCTTTACAATTAACTTTATTACTCAAGTTGATAAGAGTGTATAGTTATAAGTAAAGTAAACAATGAAAGTAATATAAATTTATCAGTAGTACTAGTACAGGTCTAGTTGCCACCTTCTCTCCCCCACTCTTACAACATCTTAGACCCACTCCTGTTCTGAGTATATTTCTACCATTCAGCGAGCTTTGACATTTTTTTTAGCTTTTCTATGAACATCAGTATTGCTCGTCAAATCTTATGTATTCATTTCTGTACGTGTTTTGGAAAACAGTTTTATTTCCAACAATGAAAGAAGTATTCAGTAACTGACACATGATGTAGGCCTATAACTGAAAGTACTCGTATTATATATAAATATATATACTATATTATGGGACGATAAAGTTTGTTAGCGTTATACAGAAATTTGTTGTTTAAAAATGTCACGAAACAATATGTTTATTATTATCAACAACAATTCAGTAGTTTTTAGTACAGCAGTTTTGTGGAACTTTGTAGGGATAAACCTAGGGGACGCTATTAATCATTGTGTTTGTGTTTTTTTTTTTCTTATAGCAAAGCCACATCGGGCTATCTACTGTGTCCACCGAAGGGAATTGAACCCCTGATTTTAGCGTTGTAATTCCGTTGACTTACCACTGTCCCAGCGGGGGACACTCTATTAATCATATTTTCATGTTGTTACAGGCAGGTTTTGTATTACTTTGCATGTATGATACATTTTAGTGTACCCCTAAATTATTGTATCTAAAGGCAGGATTTCCTCTAGCTTTATACGTTGATTGTAACTCTTTTTAAACAATTTGAGCTTCAAATATCTTACAATCGATATTTTGCTATTTTATGGCATTGATTTGATCTAATTCACGAATACAACATATCATATTTTCATTTTAAAACAGCAGCAAAGTTTTCTGCCTGTAAACAAAATACCCCCATTTGAAGTTGTCGATTTTTTTAACGTATCACCCCTTAAGAAATATATTTTACACTTATTACATTTCAAGTATTACCCACAGTTTCTGTAAAGACCTAGGTTGTCCTCTGTTATGGTTCCTCATGAGTAGGAGTAGGTTGATCATTTACTAATAAATAACAGGTTTCGAAATGGGTATAAAGTTTCAATATGATTAGATAGAGCAAGAATTAGCATAAGACGGCGATTTGGGCTCTATTCGTATAAGTAATAAATTTTACTTACATTTTAATTTACGTTTATAGCTGTTTTCTGTCAAGGAAATATCTTATACTCCTTCCGATACCCATGATACCTACTGCCTGTTAGAACGTAAGTTTTAGCCGAGATCGTTAATGTAACCTTGGCAACGACATATCTGAGGTACAAATGCAGGAATTCCAGCAGAAAAACAATTGTGTAATATATATGTGATTAACCAATACAGAAGCCGCCATTTTGTTGAATCGCAAGTTTAATGAAGAGAAGGTGTTAAATAATATGAAATAAGGTGTAAAGAAACACATTTACCGATTTATCATGGTTCTGTGATCCTTGCAGTTTCGCCTGAATCCCTAATAGTTAAAAGTTTCGTTTTTTAACACTCATAGAGCCTAGTTGGTTCTGTGATACTTGCGATTTCGGTTAGTTTTTTATGCTTACTTAGCTATTTCATTTGGTTCTATGAGTTTTAATTAGTTATTTTCTTTTGCTTAGTAGATTTATTAGATTCTGGAAATTTTATTTTCTGCTTTTAATTGGTTGTGTGAGCATTAATTACTGATATTTCTTTGTTTTGTATGTTCAGTACGTTCTGCAAACCTTTCTTTCTGGTTGTAAATGGTTCTGTGAGCTTTAATTGCTGAGTTTCCCTAGTTTTGTATGCTTATTTGGTTCCGCAAGTTTTACTTCCTGATTTCACTGAATTATTTTCACATGTAGACAAATCATAAAATAACAGTCAATAAATATTTAGTAAACCAACTCATTAAGAAGAGATTTCAGAAACAGATCGTTAAAATCCAACTTACCATTTCTTGGTGGTTGGGATAAAACGTCTGCTCAATGAGTGGAAAGTTTTCCTTACCCAATCGTTTCTGAATATGCAACAACTGGGAGAACTGGAAAAAAAAAAAGAAATTTCTTGTAACAATCTCTTTTCCTCCAATGAAACGTATTGTGATAATAATTCAATAATAATTTTCATTAAGAATGAAAAACTCACATGTTTTTAGATTAACAATATTTAAATATTTTTTAAAAAGCTCTCTATTAGGTCGAACACAGTCTAGTACAACGAAAAACCATTACGATTTACACATTAATATTCTAATATTTTTAAAAAAGCTCTCTATTAGGTCGAACACAGTCTAGTACAACGAAAAACCATTACGATTTACACATTAATATTCTACCAGCTTTGGTTTGTTTCTTTGTTTTCATGAAATCTAACGAACCGGCAAGACGGTTGAAAAACACTGGTCTAGTGGATTGCGTGAATCTGAGAGATCAGGGTTCGCGTCATGTTGTCGTAGAAACGCGACTCACACTTTGGGCACGTGGATACTTATAAGAGAGAAGCAGCAAAATCCCACTATTGACAAGACAAGAGTTCGCAGTAGGCGCTATTGGCTAGCTGGCTTCCCTCTAGTCCGGTGGTTCCCAACCTTTTGTGGCCTTCGCACACCCTAAAGAAGCCCTCGCACCCTTCCCTAAAAATTGTGCATTGGGCATTTCCTCTTGGCGACATTTGGGGGAAAACGAACCTTCCGCGCACCCCCTGGACCCTCATTTTGCACTCCCAGGAGGTGCCAACACCTCTGGTTGGGAACCCCTGCTCTAGTCTTATCATTTCGCTATTAGTGATAGCTGTGTATAGATAACATTTGTGTAGCTTTACGTAAAAATTCTAAAAACAAACAACTAAACGCTTTTATTTATTAAATATTAGTTTGATAAAGATTTAAATTGGGCAATGTGACCACGGTAAAGCTGCGAAAAAATACCTTTTCCAGCATAACTTAGTTGAAACGGGCCGGGTGGTTAGCGCGTTAAAAATTACAAGATTTGAGATTTGATGACACTGAGTATCCTCCACACTTTCAGCTGGGAGTGCGTTATAAAAACAACAGACAAAGAGCCATACATAGTCCATGTAGCGGCGTCTGCTGCTGGCTGGTTGCCTTTCCTTTAGTTCAGTGGTTTTGAAAGTTTTCTGGTCCGCGAATTATCTGACTGTGTTCCAGGGTGGACCACGCAATAAACTGAGGAATTTACTACCCTTTTAACTCCAAGACTGCATAACGAATAACTTAGATCTTTTTCAAGTTTATGAGTTAAAGTGAATAAATAAGAATTTTCCCGTACTGTAGTCTTGAAAGAACTACACACTACGTCTTTTTATCGACTTCTATAAGCTCAATAGTCTCACTTTTCTGCTAGGTGGAGCTGCAAACTTACCACCCAAGGCTTGTCCTGAAAATTGTATAAGCTATGAACGGTGTTAATACTCGGAATACTTCCATATTTAAAGCCCAGCAGCAGCTTTCTAAAGTCAACGTTGGAGTCCCGGATGTTTTGGCGAAAGAGGACAAAGTCGGGACTGAAAGACCTAAAGGAAACACGATAAACGGAAACACGTGCATTATCATAGACGTTGAAAATAAAACTGTAATTTCTATTATTTGTAACTATGTTCACTCCTATATTAATTTTTCTAACTATTTTAAAGAATGTTGTTATTTCTGCACATAATAACAATAAAGTCAATATATTTACAAATAAATATTAAAGTCTTCAATAAAATAACAATTACATTATAATGACATCTACCGGGAAATATTCAATATTAATATTTCCTACCATATTGCTCTTTTAAATTTCATTTTAGTGTGTTTTCTTTTAACCTATTTTTTTCTAGAATAAGATCAGTATTTGCGCCAAATCACTAGAATGTCAAATTTTCGTAATCTTTATGAAACTTAAACTATTTTTTAGTAGAATTGCTGCTTGGTCGATATGATATTTTAAAGGTACATTTTGTAATGTATGTGTTTTCCAAAAATCACTAACCTAACAACCTTAGTGCCGTTTCTGTCCACAATCATGCTGACAATCGTTCCTGATTCTGAATTGGCCGTTAGGTTGATGTCTTTCAGCTCAGCCTGCAAGAAGAACAACCACCATAGGACAAAACACCTTTATATTTGTGGCCACCAAATGATTATTTTTCCTTTTTAATATAGTTTAGATAGTTCACGCGCAAAAGAAAGACCAATTCTGGATTTTGACTAACTTGCTAGCGTCCAAGGTCTTTCCCCTTTGATAGTGAAGAACTATGTCGTTTGGTATTATGTATCTTTCCTAGTGAATCAACAGGGTAGAAATTGAGCAACATTTGGAGCCTATGTCTATTTTTACTCGTGGAGTGACCAAGTGACGCGAATAGCCATTGCAAACACTATATTGTGTTCTAAGTCACCATATTGTGTTCTAAATCACTATATTTTGTTCTAAATCACCATATTTTGTTCTAAATCACCATATTGTGTTCTAAGTCATTATATTGTGTTCTAAATCACCATATTGTGTTCTAAATCACCATATTTTGTTCTAAGTCACCATATTGTGTTCTGAGTCATTATATTGTGTTCTAAATCACCATAGTTTGTTCTAAGTCACCATATTTTGTTCTAAGTCACCATATTGTGTTCTGAGTCATTATATTGTGTTCTAAATCACCATAGTTTGTTCTAAGTCACCATATTGTGTTCTGAGTCATTATATTGTGTTCTAAGTCACCATACTGTGTTATAAGTCACCATACTGTGTTCTAAATCACTATATTGTGTTCTAACTCACCATATTGTGTTCTAAATCACTATATTGTGTTCCAACTCACTATATTGTGTTCTAAATCACCATATTGTGTTCTAAATCACTATATTTTGTTCTAAGTCACCATATTGTGTTCTGAGTCATTATATTGTGTTCTAAATCACTATATTTTGTTCTAAGTCACCATATTGTGTTCTGAGTCATTATATTGTGTTCTAAATCACCATAGTTTGTTCTAAGTCACCATATTGTGTTCTGAGTCATTATATTGTGTTCTGAGTCATTATATTTTGTTCTAAGTCACCATACTGTGTTCTAAGTCACTATATTGTGTTTTCACTCACCATATTGTGTTCTAAATCACTATATTGTGTTCCAAATCACTATATTGTGTTCTAAATCACCATATTGTGTTCTAAATCACTATATTGTGTTCTAAATCACCATATTGTGTTCTAAATCACTATATTGTGTTCTAACTCACCATATTGTGTTCTACATCACTATATTGTGTTCTAAGTCACTATGTTATGTTCTATATATATATATAGTGGTTATCTCTTTTAATCTAGCTGTCATTTCCTTCTGAATTTAACCAGATTCTTTGCCAACATTCTGCTCACTCATCCTGTTAGATTTGCTCTGTCGTAAATAAATATTAACTTTTTCTTTGTTCAACACAGTGTTCTGTCTTTTTCTTCTAACTCAGTCAAGTCAGAAATTCAATTTAAATTCCCCATAACAGATTTTTTGGCATTCCTCTTACAATTGCAGTTATTAATACGGTCGAAAATGTCGCTAACAGCGAGGGTTCCCAACTGATGAAAAAAATGCGTTTTGATGGTTATAAGTAAGAATGTAGGAAAAGTATATTAAATTACAGATATTCCTCACTGGTGAATTTATGGGTAACTTGCTTTGACCAGAAGTGAATGATAATTATCTGTAAAGTAATCATGCATCCGAAATACCAAAAATTAAACAATATTAAGACTGGAATCTTATTGTCAAATAAATACTCATTAGTGAATATTTTCAGCTAAAATTTCTACTTTAAATGTGTTTTTATTCAACAAATATTTTGAATTGAACTAAACAATTTAGAGATTGTTTGTGTTTATGATTTAAGCTGAAAAGCGAAAATGTTAACAGTAAAACCTTCCTGTTGGTTTATGCCTAATGGTTTTAGTATATTGTAAAAAAATCAAAAGTTTTTGCAAAAGCTCGGTATTGGAAAAATATAGTAAACGTCCTATCAAAACACTAAGTCTTGCAAAATACGCTATAGATTCTAAATGTACTTCGAAACTGTCTGAAAAGAGGTTTAAGTACTTTATTAAAGTAGTTTAATGAGGAAATGAGATGCGGATAAAATTATTCAGAAAGAAGAACTAAAAACTCGTGAATTTTTAAAGTTAAAAAACGTTATAATTGCGTTATCTTGAGGATTTTACAGTTCTTGCTGTACAGTTTGCAAGAAAATTCGCATTGATTAACGTTTGTTCTAAGTATTATTTTCGAGCTTGAAAATTGCTTTTCTCAAAACTTTAGTTACGAGGATAGAAATTAACTACTGACGTGATCGGGTAGTTTGTTTTTGTGCTGCACAAAGAGCTATCCGAGTTGTGTCCGCCGCAAGGACCGAACGTCACATAATAGTGTTATAAGCTCTCAAGCTAACTGCTGGGCCACCTGTAATTTAACTTGACAATACCAACACTGTTAATTCTCATGGAAAGTAGTTGTTACATGTGCAGGAATATAACGATCAGGCGTAGAGTGATCTGCAACGATTATTTCAAGAAGTAACCACGAAGCGCGAACTCACTTTCTGTGTTTCTTTGAGCCATGTTACGTAGGTTAATATTTAATAGACTAAAAATGAAGCCGTTTTTGGTTAACGTTCGCTGTCATCGTAATCTTACTAATGCATGAATCTTAATTCATAGTAAAAGAAATAACAATAATCATAATTTAAATACGATGCTTATATGACGTAGTCTTTTTAAACCACTATGAGGCTATAATGTTAGTACTTTTAAAAATTGTAATGTGAATAATTGCATATGACATATTGAAATAGTAATTAATACAAATAGACTTGTAACTGCTTGGTATTGTTTTAAACAGCGAAATCTATCGAATAGCTTCACAGGGACAAAATATGACATAAAAATTAACGGTTTATAATCAATTTCTGAAATATAATATTTCTAAATGTCAAATCAATTTATTTAAACCTCAGCAACTAACACTGCGTTGTCTAGAAACAACTTTGGGGGTCAAAAGACCATTATTATTCTTAAAATGTGGGTTCAAGTCTTAATTTGCAATATAAAAATAAAGAAATATTACAAAATTTCAATTTCATTTTAGCAGTAAAAACATATTAACATAATAATGTAAATTTCTTTTTACAGAAGAATAATTTCAGGTATATAATTACGATAAGAATTACCAAGCCAAAATGGGACAGGAAGAAATATAACACGTTGTTAAGCCTAACTATATTATTTGACTCGGAAGTTTTTGTAACGTATGGTAGGGTTGAACTATGCGTTTCGGTAAATGAAACGTTTCGTATGAAACTTTAATTTGTATTATCTCTAAACCAACAAAAAAGACGGAACTTAATGGCACACAATACAGGATCCCGGTGGTTTCATCAGCTCTAACTATGATATAAACTATTAATAATTCTAATGAAGATTTTGTTTCAAGTGACAGTCTGTAATCCTATACCTGTGTTATGCAATTTTTAAGTTATATTTTTTCTGAATCGGAATATTAATAATGTATATCTACTGTATATGAGTAGCTTTACCCATTGTCCTAGAAGTTTGGATTCTTTACAATATTTGATTATTTTTAGGATTTCGCTTTCATTTGTTCATTTTTAGTTTTTTTTCAGTATTAATGTAAAAAACAATAACAAAATGAAAACTAAAACATCGTCAAAGAACCAGATGATAAGGAGGATGAGATAAAACAATCAAACAAACAAACAAACCTGTTCTAATCTGATTTCCCAGTCGCCTTGAAGACGTTTTCCTCGGAAATACTTGGACCTGGAAAAATTGGTTGGTTATCCATTAATATCTTTGATTTTAAACAGAAAACTACAAAACAAAAGATTCTTAATTAAGATAACAGTAGTAATAAGAATAAGAATTAAGTCGTAACATTTATAATAGCGGTAAGTAAAAGTAAATCCAAACATGACTGACTTATACTGTAAATTGAATAATGGTTGGCATGTACCATAACTGGATATTTTTCTAGTATTGTTAAAGAATTTCAGTTTTTAATCGCCAGATGGGAGTTCTAGTCTAAGTACTCGACATGGAAATGATTTGTGTTTTTTCTAAGCCTACAAAGAAACAAACAATTCTCAAATCTGGTGATATGTAGTATTGTTAAACTTTTTTGAAAAACTTTACTACAATATCATTAGTCGAAGAAACAGGTCGTCGGAGAATGCATTTTTTCCTTGTTAATAATTATTGATGACGAATAATAAAATACGAGACTGTTCGTTTTGGTGGAAATGCTCGAGTGGTGTTCTGCTATAAGAAAGAAGATTTTTGTTATCTTTTTTGTGTGAATTTATTTATTTGTTTTGAATTTCACCCGAAACTATTCAAAGGCTATCTGCGCAAGCCTAATTTTGAAGTGATAGGCTAGAGGGAAGGCACTTAGTCAACACCACCCACTCTTGGTTTAATCTTTATCAACGAATAGTGGGATTGACTGTCACTTTATAACGCCCTCATTTCTCAAAAGGAGAACCTGTTCGGGAACAGAATTTGAACCCATGACCCTCACATTGCGAGTCGAGTGCCCTAATCACTAGGTCATGCCGAATTTTTTCGTAAATATCAAGAAGCTTTGAGCAATATAATTAATTTATTATAAGGATATATTACTCCACTCATATATTACTCCACTCACTCCCACCCAACATTGAAAATTATTCTCTAGGGTTTGTAAAATTCGTTTTTCACACTCAATGTTTACTGGGGCGCTGTAAAACTGGATTCAAACGCAGGGCTATGGAATACTGGGCTCAAATCTATTTAGTACTTCTTGAATTCATTATGTTCGTGATACTCACTATCGCTAACATTCAACAGCGATAAAGACGCTTTAGATAGAACAAGGCAAATAAATACATTGCTCCAAAGGATTATTCGAATTTGTAATATTATAGTTATGATGAGTGAAAAATTCCCGCTATAAAATAGTGTTAATTTCTCCCTCTCTATTAATTTTACTGAAAATCAAGCATCTGATGTATCACCATGTGATTCGTAATGCAATAGTTGGTCATTCAGCCTACTCTCGTAAATTAACATTTCATAGAGGTAGTTTTATTGTATACTTCATGGCGTTGTACTTCACTATAGATTATGATCACAAAAACGGCAAGGGTAGCTTGGCTTCTCAAAGTGTTTATAAGGTTATTCTAGACCGTTTTTCTGAAAGAGCTGTTTTCAGGGCATCTTTAGTATCTGGAGTCACTTGACATAATGTAACGGATCTCCCAAGTGATGGAGCTGTTTTCAGGGCAGCTTTAGTATCCGGAGTCACTTGACGTAATATAACAGGTCTCCTGACTGAATGAGCTGTTTTCAGGGCATCTTTAGTACCTGGAGTCACTAGACATAATGTAACAGGTCTTCCGACTGATGGAGCTGTTTTCAGGGCATCTTTAGTACCTGGAGTCACTTGACATAATGCAACGGATCTCCCAACTGATGAAGCTGTTTTCAGGGCATCTTTAGTATCCGGAGTCACTTGACGTAATATAACAGGTCTTCCGACTGATGGAGCTGTTTTCAGGGCATCTTTAGTATCTGGAGTCACTGACGCAATTTAACATGTCTTCCAATGGAAAGAGCTAGTTGCAGGGTATTTTTAATACTTGGAGTCATTCGAGGCAATATAACAACTCTCCCAAGAACATATTATACATGATCGACGGGATTAAGTTCAGTGAGCGTGCAAGCACTCAATTCGACCAGATTAGCACAGTGGATCGACCATTATCACCCATTAAGTTAAAGTCAAGACCACTTTCACAAGCATATGGTAGCGTTAAGAGTAATAAGGCTGGTCTCAATATTCTGCATCATTAATTATAACATCCCACAGGATGTATAGGTCTTTATGTCCATCAATGCTTATTACTGCCTACATTATATTTTCACCATTGCTGTATGCGTGATGTTCTTGTATGAAAATGGGATGGAGCTGGATCCAGATTATTGATAATTGAGTATAAGCATGTTATCTGGTTGCAGGATAAAAGGTGATTTATTTGTAAAGATAATACTGCTTCACATGTTGTTGCTACCCTTACTAGCTGTTTTATGCCTTTTTATGGGTTTTATTAATGTCTTTAGCGTTTGACATACATATTGGCCTTACAAAGTTATCTGGTTGCAGGAGAAAGGGTGATTTATTTGTAAAGATAATACTGCTTCACATGTTGTTGCTACCCTTACTAGCTGTTTTATGCCTTTTTATGGGTTTTATTAATGTCTTTAGCGTTTGATATACATACTGGCCTTGCAAAGGTTGTTTCTATCCATCTATCACGACATATGGTTGTGGCTGCGAACATCTGATATTACTCTGCGAGTGTGACGAGTCAGAAGCTACAGATAGGCGTTATCTATCTGTGTCGTAGATGATGGTTGTGGCTGCGAACATCTGATATTACTCTGCGAGTGTGACGAGTCAGAATCTACAGATAGGCGTTATCTATCTGTGTCGTAGATGATGGTTGTGGCTGCGAACATCTGATATTACTCTGCGAGTGTGACGAGTCAGAAGCTACAGATAGGCGTTATCTATCTGTGTCGTAGATGATGGTTGGCCTTAGTCAGGTATTCGAACAACTGTACCATTGATTTGGAAGCAGTTGCAGATTCTGCTAATAACACTTTGAGACATTTGCAGACGATTATGATTGGCTGGCTTTCATTTCCTTGTTGGCTCTTCACATGAGTAAAACATTCATTTTCTTTGAGGTCCGGCCATGGTTCATGGATATTTCGAAACATTTTGAATTCTGTGATTCACTTCAAAGTGACGAGTGAGGCAAAACTCTGTGAAACTGAATGGTCAATAACTTGCATTTCAGATTATATGACAAATCATACTGATAATCAGATACCTGATCTTTATCTCAATATTGAGACACGGAGAGTGACTGTCACAATCTTATAACAATGTTTTTTTTTTGCTATGTCTTATTACAAATCTTAATTATCATTTACTTGTTTTGAGCAGTTTATTAAGTGTGCTAAGCGCAGTGCGTTTAGTAAAAAAAACTTTTAGGCTTTTTAAGAGTGAATGTTTCAATAACGCTTGTGTTAAATATATACTTTGGAAATCCTCCCACCCCCCCACATACACACAAAAAGACTCACCAGTCTGTGTGGTGGTCGTCTATGATTAACAAAGTCTTTTGCTTTTCCTTCATTGTACTTGATCGACCATGCCATGTGCCAGGTTGCGAGGAGCCACGTGACGAGACGGAAGTCACTGACTTGGCAGGAGATGTTGGAGCACTAGTAATGGAACTAGATCTCAAATTAGTGGACGAATCCGCCGGATCACGTGGCTGTTGGGTTGTGTGCCGCCTGGCTTTCTGATCTTCACTTGTTTCTCCGTCATTCTGTACTTCTCCTGAAAGATCCCCAGATGAGAACCGCCTCCGCAGATAATTGGTCGTGGAGGCAAAACCTTGGCGGAAGCTTGCGAAAGAAATGTTGACGGTTGGAATGCAAAACGTCTTGAAAAAGTTGAGCTAAAGGGTTCGCCTGTAGCTGACGTAAGACCTATTAATTGGCTGGAACGTTTTCAAGTCGACTTCTAGTAAGATAATACATCAAAGCTTCTGAAGTAAAGAATATAACTTTATGGATAATGATACAAATAAAAGCTTATATTTATTAGAATACAAAACCATTGAACTTAAAATTTCAACTGAATGAATTTTTTAACATGCTTTTATAAAATTCCTTCAAAGAAAAACTAATAAGAAAGGAGAATCTTTCAAATAGTTTTGGCAGAAAGACTACTAAAAGGCTAAAAAATATTCATTGAGCATTTTCAACTGTTAGATGTATAGCACGATGTGTCATATAAAATTATAAATCAGACATTTCTATAAAATAAAAGTTAAAAATTAACATATGTATCAAAATTGTTTGTTTTTTACTTGAGCGCAAAGCTACAAAATGGGCTTTTTACACAGGGATCGAACCTGAATTAAGGTGGAAGAAAGCCTGGCATGGCCAGGTGGTTAGGGCGCTCAACTAGCAATCTGCGGGTCGTGGATTCAAATCTCCGTCCCACCAAACATGCCCACACTTTCAGCCGTTCTCTGTAGTCTTTGACTGCTAAATTAGGGAACCTGTCGCAGATAGCCCTCGTGTAGCGTTGCGCTAAATTAAAAACAACAACACACACACACCTAAAAAAACAGCAAAAAGGAATTAAAGTTTTGTTCTTTTGGTATGCCTTCTATTGCTAAGTAGTAAACCTGATTTTGAGGGGGGGATTTTTATAGTCTGTTTGAAAATTCTATTTCTACAGCTGCATTTACAGTAAGAAAAGCTGCACAACAAACAAATCAATCAATACAAAGGAAGAACAAACTTGCCACTAATAATGGCAAGGATGGATATCACGTAACTATAACATTAAAGGGTGTGTTTGTTTGTAGTTAAGCACAAAGTTACACAATGGGCTATTTATGTTGTGTCCATCACGAGTATAGAGCCTGTTATAACCCTTCTGACTTACCGCTGATTAACTGGGAGTCAATATTAAAGGTGAAGTGGTCTTGTATAACGATTCACTTAAAGTTACATAAGGACAATACATTCATTCGTCTTTTATAGCCTTAATTTTCAACAATTGCTTATTGCTTAATGTTTTATTTTCTGAATTAAACATTTAATTGCATAACATTAAGATGCAAAGCGATATATAAATGAATAGAATTATAGTGAACTGATTATACATGTATTCCATTTGTAAAATCATGAAATATTTGTAGGATAAGCACTGAAAATGCGCCTGTAAAAGTGTCTTTTTCTAATTACTTCAAGACATATGGAAGAAGAGGAAAGATAAAACGTTTCAGAGTGCTGCTTTCCTCTAAACAAGTGGAATGATTCCTGTGATTCTGGAAAGATAAAACGTTTCAGAGTGCTGCTTTCCTTTAAACAAATGGAATGATTCCTGTAATTCTGGAAAGATAAAACGTTTCAGAGTGCTGCTTTCCTCTAAACAAGTGGAATGATTCCTGTGATTCTGGGTTCCTAAAAAAATGAGAAAAGCAACAAATAAAGACATCTTCATTTAAAAGTTTAACCATTATACTTAAAATTAAACCAACAAAGTTTCTTCGGAATTGAATAGTATACAGTCATTGTATCGTAGAAAATAAAACACAAATAAAATATAAGCAAAAGCAGATTATTTATCGTATTGATTATCTTTCTTCTTGGAGCAAATGTGTCTTAAAAACCTGATGGAAACATTTTAAAAATGAATATTCAAACAAAGTACGGAGTTTTTTTTCCATTTCATTTTTCTTTACACCATAGATCGATTTAACTGGGTTATTGGTGTTCTATTACCATAGAGAGGCGATTTTCAATAACATCTAAAGGGAATATAATGAGTAAATCATTTACACAAGCGTATAAGTCGGAATTTTGCTACGGATTCTTTGACATTAAAATTTTTGAAATATTCACAACAAAAGCTAGAATACACCGTATATAATATCCACTTTTATACAGGACTGAATTCTTTTTAGTTCGTTAGGGCTAGAGCTAACATTTTTATTAAAGTAAATTACGAGTAATGAAATTATTGATTATCTCAAGCGTTTTAACTGGGAAGCTATTTAAATTATAGAAATTCAGTTTTCGTCTTTATCTAATGTCATCAGCTTTTAAGAGGGATGTATTTTAATTCTGAATAGTGTTTTCATGTTTGAAATATCGAATTACATTATAGATTGTATTATCCAACAACATTTCGGTTTTATTGGTATTTCCAAACATTAACGTATGCGTAAAGAAGATGAACAAGCTATATCGTGAAGAATGTCTACTGTGATCTTATTTCTACTGTTCGTGTTTAATGATAAATAGCAAACTTTGACTAACAACGACGTTAATCGTGGGCACATTTATACTGACTTCGAGAAATTATCAACTCGAAAACTCATTCTAAAAGAAAACAGTTTGTGTTTTAAGAGGTTGGGGTATACTTCCACGAAAACATAAAAAATAGGAATTAACCTATGCGAGCTAACGCTGTTTTTTCGCCTCAAATAGCTTCATAACGACTCGTGATCGTACTTTTTATAACTTAAGTGAACAGTTACAATTGTTTTGGACTCTCGGTAACAACAAAGAAACATGTAGGTAAAAGTGCCCGATTGAGGAAATCATACTTTATACTGAACGGCGTTTTTTTGTTCTTTTTAAGTAATTGTTAGTAAGATGTAAAATCCAGAGATATAAATCCGCATATTGTTAATGGAGTGAAAAACCAGCAATAGAAATCCGTGTATTGTTAATGAGGTGTACAAACCAGCAATAGAAATCCGCACATTGTTGATGAGGTGTACAAACCAGTAGTAGAAATCCGCACATTGTTAATGAGGTGTACAAACCAGTAGTAGAAATCCGCACATTGTTAATGAGGTGCACAAACCAGTAGTAGAAATCTGCACATTGTTAATGAGGTGTACAAACCAGTAGTAGAAATCCGCACATTGTTAATGAGGTGTACAAACCAGCAGTAGAAATCCGCACATTGTTGATGATGTGTACAAACCAGCAGTAGAAATCCGCACATTGTTGATGAGGTGTACAAACCAGTAGTAGAAATCCGCACATTGTTAATGAGGTGCACAAACTAGCAACAGTGATCTGCAAGTTGTTAGTGATGAGTAAGAACCAGCAATAGACATTTCCACATTGTTAAGGAATCAGAAGAACCTCATTACAAAAATTGGAATGTACCGTAGTTGAGGGACTCGTTTAGTGACGGGATGTAACAATATGATACTCAGGGAAGCTTTGTTGTAATCCAGACTTTGAACAATAGGAACTTTGAATCGATTTTTAACGGTAAAGAGATAGACATAACTACATGTTACATAAAACAAAGTGGAAATTCCTCTCAGTTCTGTAAAACATCTTTGTATATTGTATGCGTAACTCTTAGTTGTCCAATAACAGTAGCCAAAGAGCCTCAAACCTATTATTACTACTATTCTACAGCATCAATAATTCTGAAACGAACTGTTAGCTTCAATGTCTCAGAAGACGCGAGAATTAGTAAGGGTAATGTCTTTCAGTACTACACAGTTTTCAGTTTATCACAAACTACTTGCTGCTCATTTTAACCATTCCTTTTCCTGGATTCACATCTTAAATCTTCCATCAATGATAAATGAGGTTACTATTTTTTCGTGTGCTTCACAACATCCTAATCCCAGTCAAACGTTTTTGAAGCCAGTTGTTATGCGTAAATTTGTTTCTTTGTTTCGGTATTTAGCGCAAAGCTGTACGAAGGCTAGCTGTTTATAGCCGTCCCCAATTTTAAGCTGGTGGACTAGAGGGAAAGCAGTTAAACATCATCTACCATCAATTTCTAGGCTATGTTCTTATTCGATCGAATAGTGGGTTTTGATCGTCACTCTTAGAGAAAAGAGCGAAGCACAATCTGTCAAAAATGGGTCGCAAACCATGAAATTCAAAATCAGGGCATCTAACCACTAGGCTACACACAGCTCCTTTGTGCATAAGCTAAGTCGTTCGTTTATATATTCAAAACAGTTATACAACACTAGATTTTATTATCTGATAGTTTCTCTACAGTTTCTAACTTTAATTAAAATATTTTATACAAAAATAGGTTTTTGGTCGAAATCTAATTTTTGAGTGTGAGTTTTAAGCTGAGTCAGTTTCTTTAGTTATCGTTCTTGTGTAAGATAATTTTGATAGGTAATCTTTACAAGCTGTCAACTGCAGGACGAAAAACAGGTTAATAAGGAAGAGGTCCTGCAGCAAAAATTGCTTTTGAAGTGTTCTAGAATATTCTGTGTGCTAGCAGTACCTCAAGTGATGATTGTTATTTCCAAATGCAATGCCTGAAAATTGAGTAGATACTTTTTATGTTCTTAGAAAACGCCTAAATTATCCAAACTTTGAAACATGATCTGTAAAAAAAGTGATGTTTGTTTTATTGCATATTGATGATATTTTGAATTTTTTTACAATAACTATACATTACTCTACATCATGTCCAAAGTGAAAACAAAAAGTAAAATGTGATCAGGTTGTTTTGCGAAATAATAATTTTATTAAATTAATTAATGAATTATATGATTCTAAAGTCTTTAGTAAAACGACAACTCGAAACTTTCACTTTCCGACAAATGAGAAACAAATAACTTGCTTGAACTCGGTGTTAATTCGTTACGCAGACACTGATGTGGAACAATATTTACATAATTTCACAAGTTCCACATGTCATAACTTACAAGTTTTAAATGAGTATCTGTATTTGTAAACATCTATAAATTGAACTAAAGTTTCTCGTGGGTAAATTCCAATTCGCTGTATAACGAATATAGCAAATCGAGTTTTGTACACTATCCTATGACTGTTTAACTGCTTATAGTTAGTTCTTGAGAAAAATCTACAGTCAGTGTTTTTGTAAAGCTAGTCTTCATTAAATAACATATTTAAATTTTGTGTAGAAATAAGTATTATTTGATTTTTGTTAAGGCAGAAGTGTACAATGAACTATCTGTGCTGTGTCATCGAGGGGACTGAACCTCGAATTTTAGCGTTATAAGCCCTCAGACTTACCGTTGATCCACCAGTGGTGCGGAAAAGAATAAATGTTTAAAATATTAGACAGACAGACAGGCGGGCGAACAGTCAGACATAAAACAGAAGGACAAACGGTGAGACATGTTGTTAGACAGTTAAATATAAGACGTTCGGGTATGGTATTCAGGTAAAATTATACTCTGAAGAAAAGCCTAAAAATCCCGAGAAACATAAGATCAGGAGTGAGAACTATCAAGTGAAAAATAAATTGAAGAAGAACTTTAGAGGAAAACAAGTAAACACAAGTGTAGTTTGAAACATAAAAATCCTTTATTCAACGAACACAGTGTTATGTCATCTAAGCTAGCCAGGGTTCTTCTGGCTGCTGGTGTTGATAACAGTAAAATCAGAGGTCAAGGACAGACTAAAATCAAGAGTAAGAGAGAGACAGAACTATGAAAATACCTGACTTAAGTACATTAGCGAAAGAAAGAGAGTCGGGTATCTTACAAGACCACAGGTTATATACTTTAACCAGCGTTCTACGCACAATCTTAAGCCAAGTGTAACAGTTTCCATATTGCATTTTAAATAGGATACTTTTCAAGAAACATATATATGCTAGTTTGAAACTTAATAACAAAAGTGTCATTACGTAGTCTCTAGTAGGATTAGTATTATGTTTATAATCTTGAGACATCCCGACAACACGTATGTGATTAATTACATGTAGAAACTGCATGGAAGTCTAGAAACATATTACGTGAATATATCGGAATAAAGATGTATTCTACATTAGAGAGTAATGAGTGAATTTCATGGCTGTTTCAGTCATTATATTTGTAACGAAACAAACGGACGGTCAGATATAAAACACGGATAAATAAACAAATGTACAGATAAAGACAAACATACAGTAATATCACTAGTCTCCTGATGAGAAAGGAAACCCAAACCCGAGAGCTTTCAGAAAGTGAACTTTCCTTTATCAGGAGTAAATATTTTACTGTTTCTACCTTTTATTGGTACCTTTTCTGATTGAAGATTAAACGCAAATTTAAAATCAATACATTTGAATGTAAACCTTATACAGTCGTAATAAATTCTTCGTAAAAGATATGAAAAATATCAGATTTTGTATGATAGTCATCCAGGAAATCAGAGATAACAAAGAATAAAATAGTACGACCTACTCATAGTTCATGATTTTTTCTTAAACATATTGAGTGTATATAATTTTTATTGAATAGGTAGTTATAATTGATTTTTACGTGGCCAGAGACTATACACTATTTATTACAAAGATTATTTGACTGGGTATGGCTTAATGGTTAGCATGCCCAGACTGTGAATCCAAAGATCGATGATTCACAGCCCGTTGCCGCAAAAACGCGATCCGCACTTTGGGACTATAAAATCGATGGTCAAATTCCAGTATTTAGTCGGACAAGAGTTTG